CCCCAAAACCCCAAAACCCCAAAACCCCAAAACCCCAAATTCCTCGGTCGATATTGAAAAGCACTATAATATCGAAACAACTAATTGCTACAAACTAATTATATGGAGCCTTCTTCTACCACATTTACTAAAAGGTCGCAACTCCAATTCAAGCCATGCCCATCTACATCTCTACTTCCTTATCCAGGCCTCCAAATGGAGAACACCAAAACTCTTGATCCAGTCATTATTACCAAAAAGACCACTTTGACTAAATCTTATTCCAAAAGATTCAGACTCAGTACTTTCTTTGAAGAAGAGAGCAACCAGCATGTCGGCACTCAAGTCAAAGTTTACGGTTGGGCCAAGGCAATCAGGGCTGCAGCCAAAGGAGCGATTTGATTCATACAGCTTAACGATGGGCCGTGTGTCCACTGCGTACAAGTTGTAGTTGATCAGAGTATTGAGGGGTATGAGCAGGTTTTAGTTGAAGGAGTTGGAGCAAGTTTTCAGCTTGTAGGCACTCTTGTTGAGTCGGTCAATCAGAAAAAGCAAAGATATGAACTCCAAGTTTGTGACAATGAGATTCATTCAGTTAAAGTTTTGGGAACTTGTCCTCAAGCAGAATATCCTTTATCAAAGAAGAAGCATACCAAGGAGTTTTTAAGAGAAATTATGCACCTTCGTCCAAGAACGAATCTAATAGGAGTTTTGGCAAGAATTCGAAATAGCTTAGCCTTTGCAACACATGAATTTTTCAGAAAAGAGGATTCTTATATGTTCATACACCTGTAATCACTGCTTCTAATAGCGATGGGACAGGCGAAATGTTCCAAGTGACAACAAATTTGCCTAATCCAGAAGCTTCTGTGTCAGATCTTAAATTGACTCAAGAAGGAAAATTGGATTATTCAAAGGATTTCTTCAAGAAGCCAACATTCTTAACAGTCAGTGCACAACTAAACGCTGAGAGTTATGCTTGTGGCCTAAGCGATGTGTACACCTTCGCTCCAACATTCAGAGCTGAGATTTCTCATACAAAGAAACATCTTGCTGAGCTCTGGTCAATAGAGCCAGAGATGGCATTTGCAGATATCACAGATAACATGGACTGTATTGAAGAGTTTATCAAATATTGCATCAATTATATGTTGGCAAATAACAAAGATGACGTCGAGTGGCTCGAAAAGAACGAAAAAGAAAGCAAGAAACTAATCTCAAATCTACTACATATTGTCAATAATGAGTTTGAAAGAGTCTCTTACACTGAAGCTATTCAAGCCCTTCAGAAGAAAGCGAAGAAGGCAAAGTTTGACGAACAGCCAGAATGGGGCATTGATCTTAAAACTGAGCATGAGAGGTTTCTTACAGAAAAGATATACAAGAAGCCGATATTAATTTACAATTATCCTAAAGCCCTTCAAGCATTTTATGTGAGAGATAATGAAGATGGGCTTACAGTTGCTTCCATGCATTGCCTTGTCCCTGTTGTAGGTGAGCTCGTCACTGGGTCTCAGAGAGAAGAAAGATTTGATCTTCTTGACCAAAAGATTAGAGATGCTGGTCTTTCTTCAGAGAGATATTCATGGTATCTTGATCTAAGAAAGTATGGATCAGTTCCTCACTCAGGCTTTGGAATCAAATTTGAAAGACTGCTAATGTTATGTACCCAAATTGAGAACATTAAGGATGTGATCCCATTCCCAAGATGGCCTGGGCATGCTGATTTTTAGATGCACTCCATTTTGAAAAATTTACTGAAATTGCTTATAAACAAGTGTCTCAATCTAGATGTTTTCTTGTGGGGTTTTGGGGTTTTGGGGTTTTGGGGTTTTGGGG